AGTTGGAGATGAGGTACTAAAACTGGAAGCGAAGAAAGCTAGATTCTAGTTTATTTCAAGTTTTGATATCTTTCGTCTTTCTGGCTCTCAGTTTCTCAAGCTACCTGTTATTGACTTTTTGCTCTACAAGTTTTGATTATAGTCCAAAAATCCACAGGCAAAAAAGTTTCAGAAGAAGCCAGAGCTTCTCAATAGTTTATCTCTAGTTAATAAATTAAGGTTTATTTTGAGTAGAAACAGGTGTTAATTACCTTTAATGAAACCATTCTCTACTGTAAGAATCAATGCTGTATTTTCAAAGTTGGAATATTTAATTCTATAACAGGATACTTCAGATTAAGATGTTACACATGATGAATCATTGTTATATTTTATTCTAAAGCTAGGCCCATGACAGTTCTCTTACCTAGGGAAAAAGGAACCAAAGCTTCCTTCTTGGTAAAATATCCATTGCCGTCCAGAAATCGCTCAGGATAGAACACTTCTGGGTCTTTCCAGTACTTTTCATCGAAATGCACAGAATAAAGATTTGTAATTACTGTTGTGCCTTTAGGAATGGAATAACCACGTACAACTGCATCTTCAGAGGTTGCATGGAATATCCCTAATGGAACTATATTACAGAATCTTAAAACTTCATGCAACACTGCCTCAGTATAAGGCATTTTGCATTTGTCGTTCCAAGAAGGCTTCCCACTGGAGCTTATAATTAAATCAATCTCTTTCTGAACTTGTCCTGTCAGAGAAAAAGTCTTCAAGTTATTATGCAACTCTTAGAATTATATCTAAAGTAATTTTCCTTCACAATAAAACAAAGGATAACTTATAATAAACCAACCTGACATGGGTACACCCAGATTTATTAATAGATTTTTTTATTATCTGGAAGTTCTATTTAAATATATGGCATATATCCTGTACTAACAGTAGTCAATGCTCTGGGTAACTCTGTTGTGAAAAACACATCAAAAGTATTAAGAATAAAAATTAAACACGTCTAGAATCGAGGTATCATCACTCTCAGCAAAAAGGAAAACAGTAAAGCATAAAATTAATTTTTTTGATTTAAAAAAGCCAGGGTTCAGTTCCTAGCTCTGCCACTTCCAGACTCAGCCTTTT